CGATCCACATTCGCGATTATACCACTTTCCATCGACCTCACTTTACCCCGAGCGCGACGCTCGCTCGCTCGCACGTGTACGTGCGTGCGATCCCGCGTGTGTGCGTATAACGTGTAATTAACAGCACAACAAATATTGCATGGAATTTTTTAATATACTCATGCATTCGCTAAATTACGATGCCTACGAGCGACTCTGCATCGAAGCGTTTCGTTAACTGATTTAAGCGCGATCAAGTTTATATTTTTGAAAAAGAGGAATTGTTTTATAGAAATGATAGTTTTTTTATTACGCATATATAAAGAATTATTATCTCAGATACGTTGTACGAATGCTAGTATTAAAAAATTTGTTGTTTTTACATTTTTTATAAAAATGGAGAAAGAAAATGTCACACACATAAAAAAGTTTTTTTTTGGGAATAATGTACCAGAAATGCATAGAGATACTAAAACTGTTTATCTTCTGCATTTTATCCAAATTAATTTTTTTATTTTAAACTAGAAAAATTTCAATTACGATAGACTTTAGAAATATAAATTATTATTTTTCTTTATATAGATTTCTTTGCCGATTGACTCTGTGAAAAATAAAGGTAAACATACGAAAGCTTTGTGTGAAAGATTAAGATTTGTTTATCAATGGTCTTTTGAAAATCTCTTTTGTGAAAGTGAGAGAATTCTTGTTTTTCTTTTACGGAAATTTTGAAATTCTGTAACGCCTAGAGATCGTATGTCGAGAGACATAAACGAACCATTGTAAAATAGATCTTGATAAATTGATATTGAAACCGACGAAATAAATTGCAATTTGGTGGTCGCCACACAATGGATAGCTCGCTGTCACGCAGAAGAACGTGAGGCCGCGCGTGCATTGACTTATTGTGTGACCTCCGATAATACGACTTTAATGTCAATGATGAACTCAACGCGGATTTACGTACGGTGACCCTGTACACATCCAGCTGTGCATGCCGAAATAAACGCACTTTTACTATGCATATTTTTGTATTTAAAACTAATATTTAATCTTTTAATTGCTAAAATTGGATAAATTTATAGGAGAAGGAAAATAATTAGTAGAATCAAAAATTGTAGACATTAAAGATGATGAGAATATAATCGTGTTTGTTATACATTATTCTCGTATAATTTTTGTCATTTATTTTTTTTTATATTTGATAAGATAATTTTATCGATTTAACTTAATAGAAATTTAATTACTTTCTCTTTCATTCTCTCTCTCTCTCATTGAATTTTCTTAGTCTTACTCATTTTTTAATTTTAAACTCGAAATTAGTATTTTACTGTGAAAAAGTGTGATAAAAACTTGTAAATTAATATAATTTGTTTGAGAACAGGCTAGATAAAAAAAAAATATATTAACTAATTGTAAGAATTATAGTTTTCCTCTTTTTACTATAGATAACTGTTTTTCTCATTATATCCTACAAAGAAATACTATAGACATCTAAAGCTGAAAAGTAGAACTAAATGTTACAGCTGTGGATAAATCATCAGCAGAAGATAGATTTTTACACAATTTTCTATTAGAATATGACAGCAGAAATTGTCATTTATCAAATGCTGAATTACGTTTTCATTTTAATTAATTAATTAAATTAATTTTATATATGAGACGTGAATTCATATGAACAAATTATTTATGCAAAGCAATATTTATTTGATCGCGTTATAATTCTAAACGTATAACATTTAATAATAAATTATTATTTTGTGTAAATGAATTAAATTCACAGATGTAATTATTTTTTTACTGATTTATTTGCCTTTTTGCACATGATATAATTAAATTGCAAAATTGATTATATACGAATTGCTCTCTATTAAGAGTTTAAAATCTAATTTTATATGCGAATAAAAAAAAAAAAAGAGAGAGAGACTTCTCGTAAATTTGCCAACTCTTATGTATTCCCGTCTTTGACACCTTTGTTGAGTGGAAGTACGCGGAGCAAAGCCGATCGTGTCTCGTATGTGCAGCGATAAGCATTTCGCGTGACATTGATTTTCCTCAACGAGACGCGATCGTAAAGTATCAAATTTACGATAATGTTTAGGCACTTCGAGACACGTGTATTACATTGCGCGAGATCTGTAACGTGCGATTGTCGAGCAATAAAATAACTTCTCGATTCGAGTCGGCAATGGATAAAATTTACGATTCGATTGGATTTTTGGATTTCGATCATATGTCGAATCTTGCTTCGTGCTCCTACCTCGCTCGGATAAGATATCAAAAATTCAGAGCAGTAATGACGTAATTTTACGAAGCATTCCTCAAAAATATTAATAGCAAAATTCATAGAAAATAATATTATATTATATATATATATTAAAAAAATATATTATTTAAACAATATATAAGTATATATAAATATATATTATAATAAATGAATTAACTCTTTTATCCAATAAAAGAAATAAATAAATTGCAAAAATTCTTTTACGGACATTTTCTTTCGCTTATTTCTTAATTATTTATTTAACTATGTTTGCAACATAGTAATACGCACAGTTCGCAACAAACATCCCTTTGCCTCGTCTACTCGATAATAATTACAATTATGCCTATATGAACGCCTATTAATCTCGCGCTTGCGTAGACGAGTGGAGTAATTTTCAGGGACAGTGTCGAGCGAAGCGTGAGCGGGACAGAGTCAAGGCGAATGACGTTTGTGGGAGACGAGGAGGAGTGTAGGTGAGGGAACGGAGAGGCAGCAGCCTCCTCCGAAGAGAGAGACGCACAGCTCTCGCTCTTCCTCTATACGGGACGCGGTCGAAGACACGAGACACCACCTCGGTCGCTCGTTACATAAGTAAGGTAAAGGATCTCCTCTTCTCTGCTCTCCTTGAGCCGATCCACATTCGCGATTATACCACTTTCCATCGACCTCACTTTACCCCGAGCGCGACGCTCGCTCGCTCGCACGTGTACGTGCGTGCGATCCCGCGTGTGTGCGTATAACGTGTAATTAACAGCACAACAAATATTGCATGGAATTTTTTAATATACTCATGCATTCGCTAAATTACGATGCCTACGAGCGACTCTGCATCGAAGCGTTTCGTTAACTGATTTAAGCGCGATCAAGTTTATATTTTTGAAAAAGAGGAATTGTTTTATAGAAATGATAGTTTTTTTATTACGCATATATAAAGAATTATTATCTCAGATACGTTGTACGAATGCTAGTATTAAAAAATTTGTTGTTTTTACATTTTTTATAAAAATGGAGAAAGAAAATGTCACACACATAAAAAAGTTTTTTTTTGGGAATAATGTACCAGAAATGCATAGAGATACTAAAACTGTTTATCTTCTGCATTTTATCCAAATTAATTTTTTTATTTTAAACTAGAAAAATTTCAATTACGATAGACTTTAGAAATATAAATTATTATTTTTCTTTATATAGATTTCTTTGCCGATTGACTCTGTGAAAAATAAAGGTAAACATACGAAAGCTTTGTGTGAAAGATTAAGATTTGTTTATCAATGGTCTTTTGAAAATCTCTTTTGTGAAAGTGAGAGAATTCTTGTTTTTCTTTTACGGAAATTTTGAAATTCTGTAACGCCTAGAGATCGTATGTCGAGAGACATAAACGAACCATTGTAAAATAGATCTTGATAAATTGATATTGAAACCGACGAAATAAATTGCAATTTGGTGGTCGCCACACAATGGATAGCTCGCTGTCACGCAGAAGAACGTGAGGCCGCGCGTGCATTGACTTATTGTGTGACCTCCGATAATACGACTTTAATGTCAATGATGAACTCAACGCGGATTTACGTACGGTGACCCTGTACACATCCAGCTGTGCATGCCGAAATAAACGCACTTTTACTATGCATATTTTTGTATTTAAAACTAATATTTAATCTTTTAATTGCTAAAATTGGATAAATTTATAGGAGAAGGAAAATAATTAGTAGAATCAAAAATTGTAGACATTAAAGATGATGAGAATATAATCGTGTTTGTTATACATTATTCTCGTATAATTTTTGTCATTTATTTTTTTTTATATTTGATAAGATAATTTTATCGATTTAACTTAATAGAAATTTAATTACTTTCTCTTTCATTCTCTCTCTCTCTCATTGAATTTTCTTAGTCTTACTCATTTTTTAATTTTAAACTCGAAATTAGTATTTTACTGTGAAAAAGTGTGATAAAAACTTGTAAATTAATATAATTTGTTTGAGAACAGGCTAGATAAAAAAAAAATATATTAACTAATTGTAAGAATTATAGTTTTCCTCTTTTTACTATAGATAACTGTTTTTCTCATTATATCCTACAAAGAAATACTATAGACATCTAAAGCTGAAAAGTAGAACTAAATGTTACAGCTGTGGATAAATCATCAGCAGAAGATAGATTTTTACACAATTTTCTATTAGAATATGACAGCAGAAATTGTCATTTATCAAATGCTGAATTACGTTTTCATTTTAATTAATTAATTAAATTAATTTTATATATGAGACGTGAATTCATATGAACAAATTATTTATGCAAAGCAATATTTATTTGATCGCGTTATAATTCTAAACGTATAACATTTAATAATAAATTATTATTTTGTGTAAATGAATTAAATTCACAGATGTAATTATTTTTTTACTGATTTATTTGCCTTTTTGCACATGATATAATTAAATTGCAAAATTGATTATATACGAATTGCTCTCTATTAAGAGTTTAAAATCTAATTTTATATGCGAATAAAAAAAAAAAAATCTGCTATTTTTATCGCGTTTTCTTTAATTTATTTGGTTAATAAAATTCTCGCATAAATTTATTTATTTCATGATATGATATAAATGAATTAAAAGTGGATAAAGTTTGTTGATTATTGACGAATTGATAATTTCATTATTGTCGCATTCATAATATTCTTAATTTGAAGAAAATTTTTGACGATATCCTAAATTATAAAGACAGAATATGAAGGGATACAAAACCCGGCATGTAAATAATTACATTTATTTATTTATCAATTTTACAATGTAACAGTGTGTATAGGATACGCTGAATATAGAATAATCTCTTCTTATCGTTTATTAATTAAGGCGATTAGTGTGTAAGTGACTCCGTCGGAACATACATGTATATTATAGCACGTGTGTGACTTATATTGGTCGCGATTAAAAATTCGAACGTTTGCGATTCTCAAATTTATCTTGTAGTTCCGCGTTCGTAGGCTTGATTCGCGCACTTACTTTCATTCGCGTTGTATAACAATAGATTTGATATTAAGTATCCTGTAATGAAGTAAATTATTGTAAGACGTTAGTTTCTTTTTTTTATTTTTACTTCTATGGTACTCGATGCGGATAAGGCCACAATTAGTGTTTCCGCGAGTGCGTCCGTTGCACACTCGTACGCATATATGTATGTATGTACGTCGTATGGGTGTGTATGTGTGCGTATATATGTGTTTTTCTACTCTTTTTTTTTTTTTTTGCTTTTTTTCAATAAAATAATATGTTATGTGAAAAATTTCGAGTTTGTGTGTAATGCATGTTTGTATATGTGTGCACGTGTGTGTATGTGTATGTGTGTTGTGTGTTGTGTGTTGTGTTGTGTATATGTGTGTGTGCGCGCAATTTATACGGGACGATAACGAATCTCTACGATGATATGCGCCTGTTTTTTTCGAAAAAAGGAGGAAAACAGAGAAGAGAAGAGAGCCAGAACATTGTTGAGTGATGACACAAAAATACGTATTCTTTATCGTATCTGTCTGCGATTAACGGCACGTGTTCACATAGTTGTAAATTATCATAACTTCGTCAATACGGAAATATGGAAAATCAAGAAATTTTTTTATAAAAATATTTCTGCGCGGATCTTTATAACGTCAAATAATTTTTCTACTCAAATTTGGAAATACCGAGATTTCTTTGGAAATATTATTTAATATATGGAAAATATTAGTAATTAGACCATTTTTTTAGAAACTCATTTTTCGATGAGTTTTGTTCACAAATTAATAATAGGAATTACTATAATATTTCGATATTATTTTTTTCCTATTTTGATAGATGTACAGTATCGTACTGAAAGGAAAAGGGAGAGAGAGAGAAAGAAAGATGTGGTGTCAATTGGATAGATTTATGTAAATGTGTAGCGTGCATGTACGTGTATGTGTTAAACCGTCGTGTTTTTCGCGTGTGTGTAAATTACAGACACACACATACACACACATGCTATATAAGACTCTCTTTTTGCGCGCACATGCGCATATCTCTCTACAATTGTACAAAGCAAAAATGATATTAGTAACATCACGAGAGCACGTATGCGGAACGATTAGGCTTATTTATCATCCTAATCGTTTATATCGATAATCATTTTATTACAGTAAGGCGATTTGATTTCTCTTTATCCAGCTCGCTGGTTGTGTGTATTCATTTTTCTTTCCGGTTCTTATTTCTTTCACTCTTCGATATTTCAACGGGATGATCAAGCAAATCATCTCAAATATAGAAAGATACACGTGTCAGTGTTCTTTTTACAAACACACGTAGAACGAAATAACGAAGACTAATGTCGCTATGACTACGAAGCTAGAAACGATTCTCGTGTTCTCTCGCGCCGCCTTTCTTTCGATCAACCAGTAAAATCACTATGCTGACCAAGACGAGAACTTGGTCAGAGGATTTTCGACCTTTATCTTTCTCTGAAAAAAAAAGAAGAAAAAAAAAAATTGGCGTGAAAAATTTTGTCGAAGTACGTCGGTCGTAAAAATTATCGCGGCTCTGTAATGCAGGTTCTTCTTTATTATATTCATAACTTTTATTATATTTTCCCGCAATCTAGTCTCTTGATATGACTTTATAAAATTCTTTACCGTCTTCGTGTTGCGTTCGTTTCGTGTCCGAATTGTCAACTAATAAAATCGCGACGACGGTCTCGTTATGGCGTATAATAGAATCCGCTTGACTGTATGGATTCTGCATTCCGGAAGTCCCGCTCCCCCGTTCTTTCTCTCTCTCTCTCTCTCTCTCTCTCCCCTCGCTTCTCCCCGTCGATCCCGCTGTCATCCTCGTCGTCGTGAAGTCGTGTTTTACATCAATTTCATTTTGGCGCACTCAGGACAGATAATGTCGTCGCCATCGGTAATAAAACCACGTCCGACCAACGAGGTTTTGCAGCCCGCGCAGATGAAACAATCATTATGCCAGTGCCTATCCTCGAATGAGATGAAGCGAGTGCCGCCGATACCTGGATCAATCACCGAGTAACGCTTAGATTAGATTATATAATAATTCGAAAGTTTCAACGTTGCATAACGAATGAAACGTGAAAGAATCTCTAAGAATAAATATGCGTACATCTATTAAAAAGTCGATTATCATCATCGCAAAAAATAATACATACACGTGTTTGTCGAAGAATCGATTACTATGATAGAAAAATCAAGCTGATCTAACTCAATAAATCTTAATTCTTGCGCATTTTCTCAGAGATTCTTAGAGTTTTTTTTTAGGTGCTATTTTTCATTAATTTTTTAAAATGCTATTTTTAATTTATTTGTATAATTTTTTTTTTAGGTATATAATTGCAGGATATTTTTTAAATTAAAATTAGAGATTGTGAAATACGTTGTAAAATGATACGTACCGGTAATCGGTTTGGAGCAAGCAGTGCATCTCTTTGCGAAGAGCTCGCCGAAGCACTCGGCGCAATACGGTTTGTCATCGCGCGATGTGAATCGCTGTCCCGCCAGGGAGTTGTTGCAGTTGCTGCAAGTGAAGCAGTCTCTGTGCCATGGTTCGTTCTTATATGTCACGCCGCCGCTGGTGATAATCTGCGATAAGGTAATATTTTTTTTTTTTATAGATCTTACAGGATATATCGTTTCATATTGTAATTTATCGCGATGAGTTTCTTCCTAGATATTTAATAGGGCATATGTGTTTCGAGAGTCGAGTCCTCTCAGTACAAAGTATTTATAAAAATTAGTAAAAATTGCAAAAATTAAATAAGTGACGATCTCACAGAATTGGAGAAAAAATAGCGTCTGGCATAAAAAAATAGATTAACATATTACACAGAAATAAATATAAGCCCCAGAAATAAAAGAAAGGGTCTATAATATAGTAATCGATATATTGTCCGAATCAATATTTAATGAGATACATATAACTATAAAGTATCTATATTTATTTATAGCAACTATATCTCGTCAATTTATCAGATTGAAATTTATGGTTTTCCATTTAACGAGATCTTATTTTTAATTCATCTGTGCATTCGCTTTTTGCGCGATATTTAATAAATGAATGCGAGACGAGAATGCAAAGTAATCGCCGACGCAGTGAAAGGGGTAGCTCACCTTGTTGCACTTAACACACCGGGTGGCGAATTTGTCCTCGTAACATCCGGCACAGTAAATCTCCTGTTCGCGCGGGATGAAGCTCTTCGTGCCGATCGGATTCTTGCAAACCACGCAGCAGAAACACTTCTCATGCCATTGTCTGGTCTTATATTCCATCTTCTTAGTGCCTAAAACATATGAGCACAAAATTGATATAAGAATAATGCCTAAATAGTTTACTTAAATATCGTATCTCTGTGGAAATTAAAGAAAACTTAAATTATATAAATTTAATTTATATTGATCAAGTTTGCTTGCGAGAAAAAAAAAAACATGTATTATTATTTATATTTAAAATATAACATAAAAAATTTTTCATTAATTTTTCTTTAGATTTTTTTTTAGATTCATAATCATTTTATTATTATTAAAATTGTTCCTGCATGTTGATTGAATTTGTCGTTTCTTAATTAGTCATGAAAATACGATGCTCGCTGATTGCATGTCAGAAAGAGAGAACCATCGTATAAAATTCAAATTACTACCTATGTAAATAAGTGCAACAGAGGTCGTAGTCCGCGTTTTAGCGTCTAGACAGATGGTTGCATGCGGCGACTGGCGGGCTGCAAGTTCGTAATCGCGTGTGTCGTATTACGTTCCCGTATTGAGGACTGACTGTTTTTTTTTTGCAATCCACAATCAGCACATGCACAGGTGCAAGGCGATCGCGTGGGAACAAGAACAATCGGACCGAAATTAACGGCACTTTGGAGATTCGAATAGCACGATTGCCGATCAGCAATTAAAAAACTTAAATTATCCACATCTATAAGGTTTTTATCCAGAAAGGAAGATACGCTAAAATATAAATATAGCCAGGTAACTTGGAAATTTTAGTGAAAAAAAGGTTTTTTTTTTTTCATAGGGAGAGAGTTGTATTAAATATATGATAAATTATTGAATATATGATAAAATTATCTGTTATTGAAACTTTATCTAGAATGTCACCAACTGACAATGAGATTATTTAGTATTTAACATAATATCTCTCAGCATTATAATTTTTTTGATCAATATCTTTGACTGGTATTTAGGGGTATTAAAGGGACATCTCTGATTCAGTGCTCGGTGATATGGTTCCAGTGTTAAAAAATATATTTCGATGAGTCATACGCGCGCAGAAATAAAAGCGTCTTTAGGCACACACAGCGTATATCTGAAACGAATCACGTGGTGATCCTAAAAATTGTTTTGCTTGCTGCAAAATTATCATAATCTAGAGCTAAAAATGAGGTGGTTACTTTGTGTTCTCTTTAAGATTAGGAATATTATGCGAAGAACGTGACTTGACGCTGTCTAGTTGATGAGTATTGTCAGCTCGTTATCGTTGTCACGTTCTGGCCTGTGATTTGAGAAATGGGCAGATAATACCCAAAATCATTGACTAGGAAACGCAAACGTATTGTTTGCCGCTAATGTCATATGAATTGCGTATTTCAAAACTGAAATTTTTGCCAGCGAAATTGTAATACTATAAATATATACATGCTATTTATAATACATGAAATAATATATGAAAAAATATATGAAAAACATATAAAAAATATATGAAATATATGAATTTACATGAAATAATATGGCATATGTAAGGTATCCGTCGGAATTTTTATAAATACTAACATTTTTAATGTCGTAGATAATGATAAAATCCGATTCACAATCAATCGATCAATGAATTAAATTTATTCATGCGGACTTTGATTGAGGCATTATAATGTAGGCGTTTGCCTTGTCTCTTTTTCGCGTTTCTCATTTTTCTCCCTACGTCCGAGGGACAAGAAGACGAATTAATAACTCTATTTCGAAAGGTGAGCTAAGACCCCGGGCAAACGACACACTTAAATGTGACATTAAATATGATATAACGTGTCTCATGAATCATCAGCTCAATTCTAAATGTTTACGACGTGGGATCACGTCTGTGAAGGATGACAGTCTCGGTGACGATTGAAGAGCTTCTTTCATTAAAAAAATACTCGTGTCTCTCCTTCCTTTCTTTTAAGGTATAGGCAGGAACAAAACGGCATCATACATTAAAACGCGAACTTTGTCGAAATTAAATTCTAAGCTCTTGTTAAATTGACCTCTCGTAATATCTGAAGAACTCTTACCGTATCGAGAGAATTGCATTCGCATTACCATATATCGATGAATATACGAGTGTGATAATCCTCCTCCCATCATCGCCGATGTAGATGTTGATTAATGAATAGCGCAAGTGTCTACTCGATACGTACTAGCTAATTACTTATTGCGGATCAACTTGTTAAATTATTCATTCGTCGTCGAACCAACGGGCGGTTAAATCGAATTAGTTGCAACTACATCGTTAACTGTAGACAGCAATTGTTCACCCATCATACTGTTAAGTGGGTAATTGCATCTCGATTGCACATTTGACGCACTAACGTTATAATTACGTCGTAATGATTGATTTATGATTATAATGTGCAAAACGATAGTACTAACGTAACTTAACTTAGAATAATTTGTTAAAATGATCAGATATAAAAAATTGGCTGTAAATGTTATACAGGTATAATCATTTTTCCAATATTCAAAATAAATATTATTAAAATTAAAAAATATTTATATTATATAAATATAATTCTAGGTACTTTTATTTATATAATTTATGTTTTTTCCCCTTTTAAGTAAATAATTTTTTTTCTCCAAAATTTTAGTCAGGTATCTGAGATTTTAATATCTACAGCTATTTTGTTTTAATTTGACGACACGAGGGACGCGCTAAAGATGGACATTCCGGTGTGTTCGCATATCTTTCGTATATGATACGTTGCCTTGTGGACCACTATGACTCAAGCAAAGATTCGTGACGTCACGTAAGCCATGCAATACCACCGTATATGTATAAAGCTGATGGTCCAAGGTCGATGTGGTAATCTTCCGCGCGTCGCGTTAATCCGTGAGTTATTCGCGTTATAAATGGGATGCGCTTATATGTAAAATTGAATATTTGCATAAAATTACACACCTTCATCAACTCATCGACATAAAATATTTATATGTAATTTACATATAAAATATTCTTTTATATGTAATCTTACCCGCGTCGTTCTAATCTTTTAGGATATACGGATTAGTTGAAAACAAAAATATTTTGTAGATTTCTCAATCGATTGAGAAAATATCGAAAATTTGTCATTAGAATCTGTGACTACAATAATGGAAGGTCTGTATTTTTTAGATACACAATATATAAATGTATATTTAAAGGGATATAAAATAATAATTTAATATTATTTAAATCCGCGATTTTTAATAATATGAGATATATAGGATATCCCTCAAATGCCAGATGTTTTTTTAACCGCAACTTTAACACTAATCTACTTATGCTTATTCGTTTCTCCTCTGGTCGGATGAGTAACAGAAACACTACCCATTTCCGCAAAAACCGCCATTAATTATCATAATCTCTCTTTCTGGTGCTCGCTAATCTTTAACGCGATCGTTCAAACGGATTCTACGATTATCACTCGTCAAAATTGGTAACACGCTCTCGTAAACCGACTATACCGAGAGGTGGAAGCCACCATACCTACGTCAAGTCTAAATATAATTCAATGAGAAGCAGAAGCTACATCGGTCCAAAAATTTCCTGACCCAGGCAAATTCCGTTTCACATCAAATAGAAAGCAAAGACAAAGTTATAAACTGTTCATCTCATATATCTCTTTGCAAGTGATAATTTATTTTTGTATTGTAATTTAATTTATTTTTATTTTTAATCATATCTTTTGCCTCTTAAAATTTAATTGAACTCTATTAGATTAATGACATTTATTTATAAATATATTTATATTTTGATGTACGAATAAGTAATATTAATATTATTTATTCTCAATTTAATTACTAGGGGTTATAGCTTTTTTTAAATATAATTTGATGTCAAATATTTACATTCTTATGTAAATGAGATCCAAATCTTATATTAGAGATTGCGATGAACGGAAGAGATATCGCAACTCGATAATGATATATTTGTTTGAATATACTACGCCGATTGATATTCAAATATGAACAATATATATCGATTTGCCATTATGACTGATGATATCATTCATATTAATACATCGATATCGGTACTCTTATCCGAATGGAGTCATGTGATATGCGATTTCGATAATCTCGCGCGTGTAATTGCATCCATCCTTTTTTTTACCGTTTCAGCAATATGACATGTATACACAAGACAGTTTATTATAAATTGCACAACTGTCTGCTTGTTTCTCTTCGAACATACGCAGTATTGCGCATTAAACTTTCTGACGAGGCGATCGAAACGAGGTGCACATATATTTTTTCATCACAAAACACGTCAATGCAGATTTTTAATCACACTAAAGTGAATTTCAATGTATTTCGCAATGACTTATGTCAATCATCATATAGGATCGCGCTGACAGTGTCTGATTATATTTGCGCGAACAAATTAGACTGCATCGGAACAAGCAACAAGTTATTAAACGTGCAAAGGAAAAAATATCTTTTTGATAACGCCATTTGCATAATTTTAGCGGATATTTTTCCAATTTAATGCTACAAAAATGCTTAATAACAAAATAATTATAATCAATATTTGCTAATTATTGTTTTATATATTGGAAATTAATCGAAAATTCCTTTTCTTTATTCACCAGATGATTCTGTTTAAAATCTCAATAGAATGCGTGTGTATGCAGTTTAGTATTTTTAATCACAGTTTTAATACACATGCTATCCGACTCGATGTTTACGATATCGTGAGTCACGTTTGCAATAAAATCAATCATAGATACGCAAGTCGTCACCCAAAGCTGCTCGTTTATTCGTTCAAGGCTTTCTTGCACTTCTTTTCAATGACGTACCTAGTGTTGATTCGGAATTTTTGAGTTACAAACAATTAAACATTCACAAATTTTATCAATAAAGCTGGAAAGATACAAATAAAGAAGAAAAAAAGGTGTTCTTTAATTGACAAATTTATATTGGACTTTATTCTTAAAAAAATTTTAATTAATTTATAATTTATTATAAAAATATTTAAAGTTTCATGTTATTTATATAACAAAAGAATCGCTTGAAATACGTTTGAATAAATGTTAAAGTATTTTAAAAATTTAAT